GGGCCTGGGAGTACGCTTATCCGGTCTACATGTGTTTTGTAGACTTGGAGAAGGCGTATGACCGAGTTCCCAGGGAGTTACTGTGGGAGGTGCTGCGGGAGTATGGGGTGAGGGGGTCGCTACTCAGGGCCATCCAATCTCTGTTTTCCCAAAGCGAGAGCTGTGTCCGGGTCCTCGGCAGTAAGTCGGACCCATTTCCGGTGAGGGTTGGCCTCCGCCAGGGCTGCGCTTTGTCACCAATCCTGTTTGTAATATACATGGATCGGATTTCGAGGCGTAGTCATGGGGGAGGGGGTCTGCAGTTCGGTGGACTAAGGATTGCACCACTGCTTTTTGCAGATGATGTGGTTCTGATGGCTTCATCGGTCTGCGACCTTCAGCACTCACTGGATCGGTTCGCAACCGAGTGTGAAGCGGCTGGGATGAGGATCAGCACCTCCAAATCTGAGGCCATGGTTCTCAGCAGGAAACCGATGGACTGTCCACTCCAGGTAGGGAATGAGTCCTTACCCCAAGTGAAGGAGTTCAAGTATCTCGGGGTCTTGTTCTCGAGTGAGGGAACAATGGAGCGTGAGATGGGCCGGAGAATCGGAGCAGCGGGAGCGGTACTGCAGTCGCTTTACCGCACCGTTGTGACGAAAAGGGAGCTGAGCCAGAAGGCAAAGCTCTCGGTCTTCCGGGCCATTTTCGTTCCTACCCTCACCTATGGTCATGAAGGATGGGTCATGACCGAAAGAACGAGATCGCGGATACAAGCGGCCGAGATGGGTTTTCTCCGCAGGGTGGCTGGTGTCTCCCTTAGGGATAAGGTGAGAAGTTCGGTCATCAGGGAGGGACTCGGAGTTGAGCCGCTCCTCCTTCGCGTCGAAAGGAGCCAGTTGAGGTGGTTCGGGCACCTAGTTAGGATGCCACCTGGGCGCCTCCCTAGGGAGGTGTTCCAGGCACGTCCAGCTGGGAAGAGACCAAGGGGTAGACCTAGGACCAGGTGGAGGGATTATATCTCTTCGCTGGCCTGGGAGCGCCTTGGGATCCCCCAGTCAGAGCTGGTTGATGTCGCCAGGGAAAAGAAAGTTTGGGGCTCTCTGCTGGAACTGCTACCCCCGCGACCCGATCACGGATAAGCGGGAGAAGATGGATGGATGGACACACAGTTAAGCTCACACACACTATTTTATGAACATATAGGTTCACCTACTGAATTAAAAACAGAATAAATGAACCAAAGAAAGTGAAAGCCATGAAGCAGATTCAGGCAGTAGGCGTATAGATTCACATTTTAAGTAATTGTAAGGGAATATTTTTGTATCCTGATAATACAGTTAGATGTATCTAAACCTGGCTAAGCCTCAGTGTTAAACCACTTCTCTACATAGGGACAGAAGAGAGATCATAATTCCTGTCACATTCCTCTGCTGCCTGAAGACCACTTGAAACATGTCCTCTCGTATTTAACAGATGGATGAGAAACCGCTCAGATACTCCTGACCTCTCTTGATTTTTAAATCTTTTACTCTCTCCACTCTCTCTGCTGTCTGCCTGTCTTTGACTTTGTGTCAGTTAAACTGAAACCAGTGAAGCCGTGTTAGAGTAAGTAAAAACAGATACTATTTCAACTTTAAATACTCCATTACAAGATCAGAAGTAGAAGTAAGAAGTAGCTTTAAAAGGAAGAACTTAAGTAAAGTACAAATATGTCCAAAAAGTACTTAAGTACAATACTTGAGTATTTGTACCTATAGTCACTTTCCACAGCTGAGTGCAAGCTGTCATATTTCATGTGTGTGTGTGTGTGTGTGTGTGTGTGTGTGTGTGTCTGTGTGTGGATCGTGTGCGCCCCTTCAACTCGGGCTGCACGCAAGAGACAGACAGTGTGTGAAGTAACCGCGGCGACCACAGTCACGATCTCCATCCTCCCCCCCCCACCCTGACTCCCAACCTCTCCCTCAGCCTGCTCCCTTCTTTTCTCCTTCATTTCATGCTTCTATTCATACTCCTCCTTGTCTTTATTACACAGTTTAGCTGAATACTCGATTCTGATTGGTCAATTTGGACATTCTGTGGTCTGCACATTTTTCGCTAGCAGACTGTTGCTAAGGAGGACGCTCTGATCTATGTGCAGTCGTATCAATCCACAGAATGAAGTCCGGACAATTTAATGTCGTCTGTTGACAACAAATATTACAAATATGACAACAAATAATACAGTGGAATACTTTTTCAATATTTATTTTTATATTTGTGGAGAGCAGGAAACGTTGGACTCATGATGGCTAAACTGTCCCCAGTAAAGTAAAGAAGGCTAGAGGTTAAAAGACAAAGAGCTGGACGTCAGATTTTTACATTACATATTACTTGTTAGACGCTTTTATCCAAAGCGACTAACATACTCAATACTGTGGGCAATCCCCACAGGAGCAACTTGGGGTGAAGTGTCCCAGGGACACAACGACATGCTGACTGCAGTGGGGTTTGAACCTGTGACCCCCTGATTCAAACACAAATGCACTACCCACTGCGCCTCACGCCTCCCATAGAGATAAATTAAGAGAAGAAGACAGACAGGAAGTAAACACTAACAGGAACAACAGAAGAAGACAGACAATAAATACACACTATCAAATCAATATTGTGAGTCCACTTGTTGGTACAAGTTAGCATGTCGCCATGTAATAAGAGGGATAATGTGCAGCGAGGTGGCCATTATTGAAAAAGAACACTGACAGGAGAATCAGGTTTCCTTACTAAAGACACACAAACACACAATGACCGTTAGCCCTCCAGCCACTATAAACCCAGTTCATCTGAGGACAGCACATAGAAACATGCCTCTGTGTCTCTTTGTGTTCAACCGAGCTTTTGACATTTATTCACAAAATGAGTTCAACTGGAAAAAATATTTCAGCCTCGAGGGACAAGCTTTCATTTTCAGTGAAGTCTTCGCATTTAAATATTTGAGGATTACCTTATACTTCTGCAATTTGTTGGGAGTCAAATGGCTCATATTTTATTTATTTTTTTTACAGTATATGTAAAAAATATTTCGACATAATAATCCGACTTCTATTTCATTGCTTTTTTTTGTCCTCGCCAACAAGGAAGTAATTACAACAGATGGTAAAAAACATTTCCGAATAATAGTTGGAGCTATACATTGATTTATATATTTTGATAATTTAACATTTAAATAATCATTGTTTAGTGTAATTTATTTGAGTTAATTAAAGTCATTCTTAATGCTTTCATTCCGAAGGCAGTTGTGGGAACTGGGTGATTAAGGTATGTATTGGAGACAGGTGGAGGTGGGATTGGAGCACCAGAACGGCAAATGTTTTTTAACACAAGGAGGCCACAGAAAAGGCATCGGGGCAACAACCGTGCCATTGTACTGTTTGATATTGAATCATCTGAATAAAACTGCACACAACGACGTTCTTGCCTGGACTTTTTTTTCCTAAGTAAGATTTGTACAGTGTATTAGTACTTTTCTCAAGTAAAGGATCTGAATGCCACTGGGCACATGTAGTCAAAAAAATCAAATAGAATAACGTAATAACATGGATAAACACCCGTAAATGTGAGGTTTTTAACCCTTAGATGCACGAGTGACTGGACCCTCTTCTATAAGTGGGCCAAAAAGGACCCGTATTAGAATAATATGTGTTTTTATGCCATTTTTGTCATTTTGGTTAAGAAAAATCACTTGTATAATATTTAGTATTATATTTTGGTTCACACTAGAAATATTTTATATAAAATGTTTCTCTATTTTTATAATTTTAGAAAAAAAAATTACATTTAAAAAAAACGTTTTGAACATATTGATGCAAAGATCTTCGCTATTCTGAGACCCTCACAGCATTCCAGTCCCTTTTCAAAACTCATCTCTTCTCCTCTTGTCTACTCATAGCCCCCCCCCCCATCAATCCATGCCGGTTGATCAAGTTTGATAGTCCTATACCCCCCACCCTAACCTTCCCTTATGTTGTAAAGCGATTTTGAGTCCTTGAAAAGCCCTATACAAATATAATGTATTATTATTATTATACTGACAGGTTTCAGATCTTGCGGTGTAAAATAATCTTCCTGAGAGGTGTCCCTTGAGATGTAGTCTGTGTGGTCCACAGTGAATGTATTCCTGACAGCCACAGGTGATAAGAATCAAAGGTTCCCGTAGGATTCCATAGAAAATGCATGCGGGTCATTTTTGACCCACTTATGGAAGCTTGGGGTAGTAATACAAAAACTACAATTTCTTAAAATGTAAATTTAAAATGTGAATGGCATGATATCCAAAACATGTTTTTTGAGGAATAGCTGGAATATGAAATGATAACAAAAGTAATTACAAAGAACCTCTAAGAAAACCACCTCACCGGGTCAAAAAAGACCCACTTATGCATCTAAGGGTTAAGCAGTGTGATCCGGCCACACAGGGAGACACCTCACATAAAGCCTGGGCAGTGCTCCCAGCAGCATTAGATCCACTCCCTCTGCTCTCAGAGAGACACAGGCTCTCTGCTTCAGCACTGTCGAGAACACATTCACAGAATTCCTGCCTGCACTCACCCCGTGTCCTCTCAGGCACAAAATACTTGTAAATATTTAACATTAACAGAACTAAACAGTCTATTTCCTGACCAGAGACTCAGCACAGCCACTAGTCTGTGCTGGTGGTGTCACTGTTAGGAAAAACAAATCACTAAGGCTGCCTCCCAGTTTTAGAGTTGGAATAAAAATACAGCATCCTATCTTTGTAGAAGTTATGATATGTCCACATTAGGGATTCACTCTCATTAACACATTGAAGTCTGAAAAACTTCAGAACACGAGAAATTGGACCATCGAAGGAGCATGTGAATGCACCATTAGCCTGAGTGGAGGTTGGAGTGCCATTTTAGTTTAGAGTTATAGGTAAAGAATCCTATTAAGATAAATAAAATAAGTCTTAACAAAATAGGTAGCGTGATTTGGGGAAGAATTTAGATGTAACAATTCCTAACCTGTCTCTCCTCAGCTCCCTCGTTTCCTCCTGGGTCTTCTCCAGGGTTTCCCTCTGTCGCATCACTTCCTCTTCAGCTGCGCGGTACTTCCTGCTCATCTGTGCCTCTCTCTGCTGCCATGACGACAGCTGCTCCTGCATGGTGTCATACCTTTGTTGGCACGACAACCACATCTCGTGTTTGTCCTCCAACTTCTCTTTTAACCTGTTAGAAAAGATGCAGGATATGAGCTCAAACACTCTGCTACAGTCCATACGGTGATATCCCATTAGGAAAAGTTTCCAATTTGTATCTGTATACAGTGTGTGCATGTTTTGACAAAAACACAACACCTACAAGTACACATACTAACAACAAGGGGAGTGTGCATCATAGTTTGTTTCATAAGAAAGAACAGAGTGGTGTAGTGGTGACCTATTTTTTTAAGGCGGACCGGGAAGTAAACATTTTATACATACAGATACATTTTTTGTTAATTGCATGTTTTATTCTGAATCTGAATTTTCTAACCAAAGGTGTATGTAGTGGAGTAAAAGTAAAACAGTCTAACCTCTGACTAACCTCCCTTAGTCTACATAAGGGCTATTCAATTGGCGGCCCGCGGGCCAAATCCGGCCCCGGGGTGCTATTTACTGGCCCTTTGAGTATAATGTTAAAAAGTAATTGAGCCAGAGTGCCTTTATTCCAGAGAGGGTGTTACATTGAGAGATAGAGGGGAAGACATTGCCTGAAAACCTTGGCGGGCTCGGGTTTCGAGCCCACCTACTAGCTACTGTAGAGACAACTCCTGTCATTTATTGCATCTCTGCGTGAATGATTAGATCATTTCACCTAAATGAAATCAAATGATGTTGATGGTTAAATTAGCTTCACATGTACTGAGTTCTGAACTTGCCATTTAGATCCATAAAGGCCTTGGGGCTATGTTGTTTGATTTAATTAAACACAATATATGCACTCCACTATGCTGTTGTAGTATTAACTGTATCTGAAGCTCTTAATATGTTTGCTCATATTTCAAGCCATCTTTTTCCCGGCCCCTTGCTTTGGATCATTTTCGTCAACCGGCCCCATTCCAAACTAATTGAATAGCCCTGGACTACATAGTGCCTTTTTCAATTGATTCCAATGAGAAAACCGTGCATGCCGTTCCGAGTTGAAGTATTTCAACTTCTCAGAAAAACGCCGGTGACTGTAGAAATTGGAAGAAAAGCTTGAAGAGAGTGTGTGACTTTTGTCCTCCTTGCTCTACGACTTACAGACAGAGCGGTGAAGCGCATTCAGACAAAGTGTGAGAGCAAGAATCTTCTGGTTGATGATCATAGTGTATGTCAAATAATATATAGTAGCACAAACAGATGATAAATTCCATACTATTCTGTGTTTAACAGCGGTGATATGTTGTTTGCATATCACTTGTTTTAACAGAAACAGGCGCTATAAGGACACAGCAGGCCTTAGTTGCTCTCCACCTCTGCTCTAAGGAAAAGTTGGCCGTTAAATTGTTAAACTGGAAAATGAGGAAAAGCTACAGAGACATTCACAAAAAGCCATTTCAAAACATGGAGAGATTCACAAACCTTTCAACATAAAAGCAGCGTCTACAAAGATAGCAGGTACTTATTGATTTCTCTGAAGAAACCGAATCGTGTTGAGCAGATGCACATTGTCTTAGCATCCCATAGTCTCCAATCTTTGGACAATTTGGTGCATTTTTTGTCTCCCATTACATTTTCTTTGAGCTCTCTTCTCCCAATCTCCCCCATCCCTACTGAAATAGCCCCCACCCCCCCCATCGGAGTGCTATCATATGTTGCAATGTATAGCAGCCAAAAGGGTGAGATCAGAGACTGCTGTGTGGGAAAGGAAACAAATCGACAGTGTAATTGAACACACCAGGCTGCCAGTGGCTTAGAAAAAGAAAACCAGCAGATACCATGTAACAAAAATACACACCCAATAAACATCTAACGGCTGCACGGAAAGATGAGAGGCGGTGTGTGTGTAGATGTCCGTCTGTGGGTGTGTGTTGGTCTGGTGTTCTCCAATAGAAGTGCCTCTGTATATCTACAGTATGTGCACAGATGTGTGTGTGTGTGTGTGTGTGTGTGTGTGTGTGTGTGTGTGTGTGTGTGTGTGTGTGTGTGTGTGTGTGTGTGTGTGTGTGTGTGTGTGTGAGAAACATAAGTCCACGCCAGCTAAGGAGTGCTTCCATCTGTTGCGCCGGCCTCACACGAGACTCTCTGTTGTGTCACTGGCACTTTACGGAGCCTAAGATCTCCTCAAATGCTCCAAGAGCAGATCTCAGCTGACACTAATATCCCGCCTCTCTCTGGCAGGAAGGAGAAGTGGAGCAGAGGAAGTTGACGACGTGGAGGACAATGAGTGGGATGAGAACAGAGATTGTGGGAAAGTTGGATAAGGGAAGGGATGGGAATTTCTCACAAGATACCTGAGTAGTTTGTCCCGGTGCAGGCTCTCAGAGTGTTTCTCACGGGACAGCTGCTCCTCACTCTGTCTCCTCTGCTCCCTGGAGACACAAAGTGCACGGCATGATCACTCTTCAAGTTAGTTCAATTACGATACAGATAGGTGAGACAGCTGAAAATACAATAGTCCTTTCCTTGTACCGCCATTTTCACATTCAGGCAGGTAGAAGTATCATATTAAAGAGGACATATTATGCTCATGTTCAGGTTCATGTCAGTATTTTATTACTCTACTGCGACATGTCTCCATGCTTCAATGTTTAAAAAGCTCTTAGTTTTTCTCATACTGCCTGTGCTGCAGCACCTCTTTTCACCCTCTGTCTGAAACCAGAGCCCTGCTCTGATTGGTTAGCTGGTAGGCTCTATTGTGATTTGTCTACTGCTTAGAAATGTCCCGCCCCTTAGCCTATATCACATACAATGTGTTGGAGTGCTAGCTAAAGGAGCGTGAGTGTTACAAAGTGTTATCACGGGAGGCGTGTGGTGCAGTGGGTTGTGCGTTGGTGTTGGGATCAGGGGTCACAGGTGTCCCTGAGACACTTCACCCCAAAGTGCTCCTGCGGGGATTGTCCACAGTATTGAGTATGTAAGTCGCTTTGGATAAAAGCGTCTAACAAGTAACATGTAATGTAATATCACTATGTTACGGAAGTTAACAAAGGAGTCCAATGGAGGCGTTTCCGGCAGGGGGGGAGTGTGGGAGAGAAACTCCCTCTGGAGGGAACACAGGCCTCTTTAACACCCAGAGTATGCTTTAACAATTTCAAGCGTCATCGGAATAGTACTTGAGGAAGATTCCAAATCCATACAACAGCTTTTCTCCACTCCTACGCATGAATTTCCATGAGGAGGAAGCCTAACAATGAGGTCCTCCTCTGGGATCAGCAGAAGTTCAAGAATGCTATCTCACAAGTCCTTTGGCTTATAAAACGCCATTATTCATTTTACAACATAGCAGATTTCCGTAAGTCATTGAGGTTTTTTTTGTTGTTTTTAAAGACGCGTGCATGTGTGCAGCTATGTTTTTGAAATCACCTCTTCCTTCATGCGCAGCTGCTGCCTCGCTCTTCTGAAAGTAAATTGGAAATCAGTTTTGATTCTAATTTCTGCGTGCCATGACAGTATGAAGCACACACAAATACACACACAAACAGACTTTACCCTAACCCTCCTAACTCTGTCGGCTTCCCAGCCTAATCCCCTCTGTGGCGGCATGATCAGTTAATGTGTTTGTGTGTGTGTTTGTGCGTGTGCGTGTGCGTGTGTGTGTGTGTGTGTGTGTGTGTGTGTGTGTGTGTGTGTGTGTGTGTGTGTGTGTGTGTGTGTGTGTGTAGCTGGCTGTCTAGCTCTGTGACCTTGCAGCCACACGCAATGAGGATACAGAGTGAGAGGGCTGAGCTCACAGACAGACAATCTGTTTTCACTGCCAATCGAAAACAGACTGTTGTTTGGGAGTATTTGTACATTTTTACTAAATTAGATTCAGTAAAACAGTCTATAAATAATGTATTATATTTGTATCTGAACAGATTGTAAGTCTGGCCGGCTTTCTATGCATTTATGGTGCGTTACTAAACATCCTGGTGCTGGAGTCAGTCCACGTGTAATGATATTTGGAAGTATTTAAAATACGTTGATAACAATATATTTACAGATCAAAAGTGAAAATACAAACTACAAATATCTAGTACCTTGTGAGTACATAAATGAAATTGACATGAGTCAAATTGAAACTACATTTCATACACTACATTCAATTATTATTCAACGCACTATAAACTTGAAGTGTGGATCCCGTTGTCCCGTTTTGGCAGAGAGAGTTATTTTAAAATACGTGTTTTCTTGAAGCTGACCGGGTACTCTCATACAGCCAGCAGCTTTTCACAGCTCCAAACATCGCAGCGATATCCCAAAAATATGTTATTAGGAAAACTAATCATATATTCTGCAGATCTGCTTGTGTAGCTGAAGCACATGGTTTGTACTTTACTCACTACTGCCACTCGTCAGTCCCCCCTCTTTCTGTCCTCAAGGTCAGAGATGACATGATATCTGACTCCCAGCTGCTATTTCCACTAAGATGTATCATCTGTTCTCCCTTTTTTTTTTTAAGGTGAAGATAAAGATAAATGTGAAACAGGCGGGGGTGTTTTGGATTAAACTATAAGGCGCCGGGTTCAAAGTGCAGTCAAGTGCACCGAAGGAGTGGCGGAGCACTGGGTATTGTGCGGCTGCAGGCATGAGGTGTACATGGAAACAAGGTGAGATTGAGAAGAATCTATTATCATACATTGTCAGCGTGTCAGTGGGCGTGTTACGGGCACGTTAATAACAGGTTCTTGAGGGATTATTATATAGAGTAAAATTCTCTGCAGTATTCATGGAGATGTGACCTCAAGACGTCACTGCCTCCACTTGCAATGTAGATTAATGCATTTTAACCAATCAGAGCAACGTGTTTACGAGTGAACATGTTGGCTGTTTGCGCAAGACTTAGTCAAGGTAACCACATTGGATCTGGCGTGCGTAATCACAGCTTGACAACACGCGTCACTCAAATGACAGACTGCAGATGAGAGTTATCAGCTGTTGGAATGATACATGATGATAAGAATCAACCATGGATCTTCACTATACATTTTTGTGTAATTCACAGGCTTGGGAGTACTGGATTACATGTAATGGGATTACCTAATCAGGACACAAAAAGGAACTGTAAAAATGTAATCAGATTACTGGTGGATTACTAGCAGGATTACAATGTTAGTAAAACATGTAAAACAGCATAAGTGTGAATCTATTCGTCTACTGCCTGAATCTGCTTTATGGTTTTCACTTTCTTTGGTTCATTTGTTCTGTTTTTAATTCAGCAGGTGAACCTATATGTTCATAAAATAGTGCGTGTGAGGTTAACTGCGTGTATTAAACTAAAACGGAGCATTTTCTGTAAATTAGATTTCTTTTAACTGTAGTGTGTGCTCATGTGTTTCAGTGTTGGTGTTTAGGCTACTGCCTGAAGATAAATCATGAAAGGCAGGTTTTCCTATAAATAAAATCTCTGAGCAGAGGACACATTTTAAATCCTAAATATCTTTGTTTCTTCTTTTCTAAGGTTGCGTTGTTCTGTTGTCTTAAATAATACACTTAAAGGTAGGGTAGGTAAGAATGGAGAAACCAGCTTGAGTGCGCTAGAATTTGAAAGTACACAACCGGAAAAGATCTGCCCCTTCCTTCAGACTTCCTCACAGAGCCCCTCCTCCAACACACACGAACGCGCACATGACCAATGAGGGCACGAGATAAGTTTGTGCACAGATGGAAGGCTGACAGGCAGGTAGGCCATCCAGTTATTTTAGCCGAGCCGGCTCAGGTGATTGGTCGTGCTTTTTACAGCACTACGGCTTCCACAGATGATATATTTGTATGTATTTTTTATCAAAGCATTTAATATATTCATTGCTATCGGGATGTTAAGAGCATTCCATGGAATATAACAAAAAGTGTTTCTGAAGTGAATTACCTAACCCGCCTTTAAGTAAAAAACATCTTCATTTATTGCATTGCATTTGATATTGAAGTAATCTGAAAGTATCAGAAAGTAATTCAATTACTGTTAATAATGTGAAACTTAGATTAGATGATTTTTTTTTTAATGGTAACGGATTACATTTTTAAAGTAACCGTCACAACCCTGGTAATATAGATGTGGCCGTGGTGGGTCAAAAAATGTATCATAAATGTGGGTGTGTCTTTTTAAATTAAAGCATGGTTTGCTGATCCAGTTTGAGCACACGGTGAACAACATGATGTTTCTGTGACACCCAAATTACTAGAAACACCCTGCTGAGCCTCTCCTCCCATTGTGGTGTATGGCAAGTCACCAAAATGCCAAACAGCCACATGAGAGGGTAAAAAAACCCACTCTGCATTTTAGGAAAATACAATTTTGTGTGCAGCATGTGCTCACATGATAACAGAGGGGAAGAGAGGGAGAAACAAGAGGAGAGTTGTTTTAAGCTGAGACAGAAAGAAGAAAGACTTCCTCCTTCCTGAAGGGCTTTGAGTGATTTTTATCTAATGTGAGATAAACGGGACTGAGGTCAGGGAGGAGGTGTGTGTGTGTGTGTGTGTGTGTGTGTGTGTGTGTGTGTGTGTGTGTGTGTGTGTGTGTGTGTGTGTGTGTGTGTGTGTGTGTGTGTGTGCAAAATACAAGATCTCGTTGGAAATGAGGTCCTTGGATGCACCCTGGGATCAATAGTTGTTTAACTGCCAACAACAGTCACACACACAATGCATACTTCACACTTTAGTACACACACACACACACACACACACACACACACACACACACACACACACACACACACACGCACACGCACACACACGCACACGCACACGCACACACACACAAACACACATAGCCTTATGAAAACAAGCTGCATCACATCAGTCACATCAATGCTTTACTCTTCCTCTCTTGACCTTCACTCATTCCATCATACACTCTTTCATCTCTCCTGCCTTGCTCAGTACATCTATCCTGTCTTTCATCTCTCCCTCGCTTGCCTCTAATCCATCCTTTCAACCTGGCCCGCGTCTGTGTCGGATGATCCATGTGTTCATCCTCTGATGAAAGGATGAGCTCAACGTCTCCTGCCAATCAGGAGGCAGCAGGAAGCTTCCCGACACGTACATGTCATCCAGACGTCGCAGGGAGGGGTTAGTGAAGCTGACTATGATCCTTTTTTGACAAATGCTGTCACCAACAACCCCCTTTTTCTACCACATGCGAGGCAACCCCCGATAAAAACGTGTCAAGAATGCAAAAGATGTGTGCAAAAACGCTAATGCAGTAAAATGTCCGGTTTATTCAAGATGTGAACAAAGTCGCTCAATGTCCGGAGAAGAGAAGAAAATTGGTTAATTGTGACCCAGATTACAAACCATATATGTGCTGCTTAGAGATGTCCCGCCCCTTAGTCTATCACGCACAATGTGTTGGAGCACTAGCCAATAGAAGCGCAAGTTTTACATAGTGATGTCACTATTACAAAGTTCGAGAAATAAAACATCCAGGGGCAAAATCAAGATTAAAAAACGAGCTTAAAGATCTTGAAGATTGTTGAAGTATATGTGTGTGTGTGTGCATGTGTGTGTGCGTTTGTGTGTGTGTGTTAAGTGTCATGACAAACAAGCTGCCCTTGAGTGTCTCTGGCATGCTGATCAGATTGCACACTCGGATCAGAGGGATTCCTCAGTCCGCCCCTCAAATATGTGTGTATGTGCGTTTCCAAGGCAACGCGACTGGCGCCACAGAAAAACCCAACAGGTGCGGAAAGCCGATGTTTGATGGACGTGGGGGGGGGTCAAAGGTTGGGCGGTTGTGATGGCAACGCCTCATGCACACAAACAAACTGGTACCTTTTTTGTTCTTGGATCCGGAGAGAGGATCACATGCAAGTTTGAGAAGCTATAGAAATGATGTATGGTGAGAATAACACACACACAGGCTATGAGAGACTGTTTAAACATACGACCAATCAGAATTAACTGGACAGTGAAAGGATGGTTAGCCAATCAACTGAGACATCTCGTTTAGACCTGACTGGAGAGATTTATTTATTTCCGACTCGTGTTTCAAAAGTTCAAAACAGTCCGTAAACGAAACGTTGCAAGAAGCTCCAAACACAACGGAAACCACAGGCTTTTTATGACTGAAATGAAATTGACTTGACTTGAATTATAACAACATACAAGTATTTATGTAATATTTGCCAAAATTAAGCAAAAAGTTACAACTTCAATTAAAAGCACTAGAAAGGAGAGTTGAGTGACTCAGAAATATGTGAGCCTGTTTTCCCTCTCCTCAACCCTTGTAACACACCCGCCTCCTTATCCTGCTCCTTCACCTCCTCCCCCACTTCTCCACACACACACACCTCATCATGCAACATAGCCTTAAGGCTGATTCTCCCTATAGCATATGTCCATATGTCTGGGTGGGTCGCGTGCGACTGCAAACATCCCCTCCATCATCCCCGTCTCAGACCTGATCCCTCACACGCACGCACGCACGCACGCAAGTACGCACGCACACACACACACACACAAAAGGGCTAAGGGGAAGGGGGTCACCATGGGTTTCTTTAGTAACGGAGGGTTTTGGCTGAGCACTTTCCTTTGACTTAAACTAAGTTGACAAGCCTATCACGTACAATGTGTTGGAGCACATGCCAATAGAAGTACAAGTGTTCCGTAGTCATGTTTTTCTATCTTTCTGTAAATCAAGCTGGCCAGAGAGAGAGGAGAGAGAGGAGATGAGAGGGGGAGAGAGAGAGAGAGAGAGAGAGAGAGAGAGAGAGAGAGAGAGAGAGAGAGAGAGAGAGAGAGAGAGAGAGAGCATAATCAGTCATCTTTAAAGGTCAAAAACAAAGACAAAAGAATTAGGAGGGAAAAAGAGTGACTGATGAGGAGGTTAAAGAGGAAGAAGGAGGACACATTAGTGAGTCTGTCAGGTCAAGTAGTCCTTTAATGTTGTGATTATCAGATAGCAGCAACATTTAACATGTACTCCCTCTATGAGTAGGAGGACGTGTGTGTTCTTGTCTGTTTTTGTGTGTATGCTTTTCAAGTGGTTAATTTCTTCAGATCCAGAATGAGGTCACTGCAACACGATTAAAAAAGCATCCTCTTTCCTCCGCTTAAGAATAACACTATATCTCAGAACGGGAGACATGTGCAAACATTTTTGAGTGTTCAGTGAAAACAAGTGTCAGGAGATGACCCAATATGGAATCATTTATCCATCTGGAGTTTTTGGGAGTATATCAACTTCAACCTTTCTAAATAGATTGCAAAACTTGACCTCAACAGTGATTAGCTCAGTGTTCTCCTGCTTGTGATAACAGTAGATAAGAGGTCGTTACAGACACGGTTGTACATTGGCCTTTTCTTCCAAACTAAAAACATGTGATGTTCCTGTGCTGAGCCATCATTTATCCAAGACTCCTATTATCCTTAAGGTCAACTTGACCCTTTCATTGTTTAAAATCTCAAAAATAAGTACTTAACATCGTTTTGGGGATAACTGGGTAAACACGGGTTGTCTCCATGTGACTGCTTTACTTACTTTACAGATTCATATGTTTTACTCAAAATACCAAACAGATCGCCCATGCCTCATATATCCCTCTATTTCACTTCCTGTTTGAAAAGTGCTAATTTTGGGTATAAAGCTTTAAAAAAAAAAAAAATGATAGAAAAAAAAGGGAGGGAGGGGGCTGAGCTCATGCGGGAGATTCTACCGGCAGATACTGCGGTGATGAAACGCCATATCATGGATTATCAAGGATTCTTTCTGAAACAGTATGGAGCTCAAAGGCTTTCTCTCTTGCCGGTTACACCACAAGGTGAGTTCCCTTTTACTTCCTGCTTCTTCACACACATGCTCTCCAGTACAGGTTAGCTCTGAGTGTTAGCGATGCTAATGTAAACACCGACCATATTACGTCCAAAACAGTCGGGTATTGTTTCTGATAGCAACATTTCTGATAGGGCCGTGGGTGTAAAGCCAGCCTACATTTCCGATATCACGTCATATCGGACGCAAATCTGGATCAGCTCCGTTTTTAGAGATTTGGGTACGGAGGAAAAGAGAGAGGGTTTTATTTTCTGACGCTGCGTGAGTTCCCCGACACACATCTTTATGTATACAAGACATCAAAAAGTGCATTTTGCATGATAGGTCCCCTTTAAGTTAGCGCCACATTCACCACCTGTGATGAACACATGAATGCATCAATAATGAAAGATAAATGCTCACAACGACAGTGCTAACGTCATCATGTTTAGCAGTTACATGTTTGTCATGTTCACATTCTCAGTACTTAGTTCTTTAGCATGCTAATGTTTTCTAATCTGGGGCACAATTATGCTAATTTTCAGGTTCTTATTTGTATTTTGTTTCTCTCCTGAGACATAAAATAATGTATGATGATCTATATAATTGGTTTGATATTTAAAGAGGCATTATTCTGCTAAATTTGAAGTTCATATATGTATTGTGTTCCTCTACTGTGACATGTCTCCATGCTTCAATGTTCAAAAAGCTCTTTATTTTTTTTATTTTTGCTGCAGCACCTCTTTTCACCCTCTGTCTGAAACCAGAGCCCAGTCTGCTCTGATTGGTGAGCTGGCCGGCTGTGTTGTGATTGGTCAACCATTAGGAGATGTCCTCACGTTGAATGTGTAACCCCTCGATTCCACCGGGTCCGTCTGCGTCGCGTCACGGCTGCGCCGCGGTTTTGGTCCGGCCCCCTCCAGTGTCATACTCAACCGGGCGCGTTTCAGAAGCATTTCAGAAGCGGAGCGTCTTGCCTGCCGGCTCGCAGTTGTTGTTGATTTGGGCATATTTCCTGGACAGGCTACTTTGTACAGACAAAGTTAATAATAATTGTAATAGTCCAGTTATAAACGACATGAATCAAAGATGTGTTGCTGTATTTTAGTGGTAAAAAAAATATTCATCATGATAATTATTCTATATATCATCATTTTCACAGTGCCTGTAAACCGGAGGAGAACGCTGGCATTTCTCCTACTTGAAAGACTACGGAGGGATATGTTCTGCAAAATTAGTTTATTTTGGGGATGGGCCGGAGGCTCTGACCGGTCCATCCCTGCCCGGAGCCTCTGCAACGCGTCGCGTCGAAAAATAGACTTCAATCCTATTTTGAGCGGAGCCCAGCACCGACACGCTTCTGGGACGCTTCTGAGCCGTAAAGCATCGCGTCTGGTGGAATAGCACCCATTGACGAGAGTGGCCGCGACCTTGGCGAACGCCGCGGCGCAGCCGCAACGCGGCCTTAACGCGACGCAGACGGACCCGGTGGAATCGAGGGGTTAGAGTGCTAACCAATAGAAGCGCTGTTACATAGTGATGTAAGGTATGTGTGGGAGAAAAACTTTGGGATCTTGGCCTTTGCAGACCATTTACATGTGAACCAATAGTTGTCAAGACATTTCACAACATGTCAACCTCATGGTGGCGCTAGAGGAAAAGTCAGCAGGATTCATCCATCACTATGTGTTCAGGATGTGTGTGTGTGTGTGTGTGTGTGTGTGTGTGTGTGTGTGTGTGTGTGTGTGTGTGTGTGTGTGTGTGTACATCTGTGCCCGCAGGTCCAGGTGAAAATTAAAACAAAATTGCAAAAAGTTTAAAACTAATAGAGCTTCTTAATCAGCATATTTTCAGAAGCCACAGGGGCATATTAGTTCCCTAAACCCCTGACTAGACCTCTGTGTGAGTGTATACAAGTCCAATCCTCTGTTGTTGCAGCTTAGCGGGCTCAGTATGTGGAACGTGAGCATTTCCTGGTTCGGGCGGCGCCCGTGGTGCTGTTTGAATGGTTTGATTGGTTGAGGAAAATTATACGGAGAGCCAAGCCCTGCGGTGAACTGTTCTTCACCGGACATTCTCCACATACCAAGATCCACCTGCGTCCCCATCTGTGCATCTGCATGTTTTTAGTAAATGTGTGTGTTGCCAAATACATGTAGACACTTACATCAGCTGCTGAGTTAGGCGCTCTTCCTCTTCTCTCATTTTCTGCAACTCCACACTGGAATGCTTCAGCTCCCCTGTCAGCACTGCACACACACATTCACATAGATTACAAAGCTTGTCACCAGAGGTTACACGGTATAATTTACAGACAGAGACAGACAGGTACAGTAGGCAGAGCTTTTCAATCACATTGGTACTTCACACATGTAGGAAACCCTAAACCACATGAAACTATCTGTGACAGCAGGATTGGAAGGAGGAACAAAACAAGAGGAACAAACGAGAGACAGAATTTCCAGACAGAAACCTGAGAGAAGCTCAAACAAGAGCTGGAGAAGGCTTGAAAAAAAAGGTGGGGTTTTGAGACACAAGCGAGCTGTTGAAAATGAAAAGGCCAGGGGGAGCAGAAGGGGAGTGTGTTGAAAATAAGGGAGTATGAGGGAGTTTGTGCTCAAGGGAAATCGTGAAACTGAACACCTCTGATTATTGTTGTGTGTCTGACATAAAGTAGCTGCTACTGTTTCCTCCCTTCACTGTCTGTCTGTCCATTTCCACCTCAAAAAGGTGCGTACAACTTGCAATGCAAAAAGATACCATGAGCAGGATCTGTGATCGTGAAGAGACTTGACTAACAATATTGATTTAAAATAAAAAAATTGATTTAAAAATGGTAGTATTGCTTCCTCTAGGATAAAATAGTCACTGCGTTCACTTGAATGTTTACTTCCTGTCTACTTCTGTTATTTCTCTGACGTCCAGCTCTCTGTCTTTTAACCTCTCCTTCTCCTCTTTTTCTTTCCTTAACCTGGGACAGTTTAGCCATGATGAATCCAAAGTTTCGTTTTCTCCAAAAATATAAAAATACATATTTAAAAAGTATTCCACTGTGTTTTCTGATGGATGAAAGCAAACGTTTGTGGTCCACAGCTGACGTTATATTCTTTCTGCGGATTGATATGACAGCACATAGTCCCTTGATAAGCGCGTCCTACTTAGCAACAGTATACTATTGAAAATGTCTGTCAAGAAATGTCCAAATTGACAAATCAGAATTGAGTATTCAACTAATTTGAGTAAGCATGTAGTCGGCTTTATATTAATACATTTAATTTATATAGCGCTTCTCATCTGCCAAGACAAATCTCGAAGTGCTATATGTCAAATGTCTCCTTGCTTGAATCTGAACCTGCTTTTATATTCAATGGTAGGTAGCGTCCTTTTGCTGCACGTTCATCTGGTTTCCAGGCTGGTGAATGCATTTCTTAAAAAACAGACCTGGAAGAAATGCCTAACTGCAATATTTAAGTCCTGTGTCAGGCCAAAATGTATCACAGTGTAGCGCTGGACCTGCTGCAGCTGAGGGCAGGAGTAGATATCACGCAAGAGAAAAGCACTTAAGTACCAGGTCTGAATAGTTAATAACTAAAGACACGCCACGATTTTCAGGAAACACCACTTTTGTTTTGCAGGTAACTGTCTCTGGTAGAAATATCTGATTACAGGCTTCTGTCTTCTTATAAGTGGAAAACTCAAACATTCAAAATTGTCTGAATCAAGATTTATTTCCACTATCTTCAACAGTAGTCAGATCTAGTGTTTTGGCAATGTTCACAGCTAAGAACAATATCATTAAGCAGGATCCATGTTACGTTTTTAGGACAAACCCGTTGATTTGCATGAAGCACGGATAAAGCACAGGCATTTATCAGTTAGTGTACACAATTATATTGAGTAAAACTAAAGTGTATCCGGCCAATTAGACATGTGATAGATGGTAAGTTAAATCTACCAGTTGTATGAGAGCACCACATTTAGCATCAGTCATACTGATATGGTACAAAATGCAGTCAAATGCCCAATTCTTCGATACTGTTAAGCTACTATCTTAGCTCTGATGCTTGCTGGGACTTCACTGAGCCCACGAGTGTGGATCAGTCTCCCTGACGACCTGAGGGCAACTTACTCTTAGCTTTTAATTTAATTGTATTTATTCTTATTTTATTTATTCTTGTTTTATCCAGTCCTGTGTTGGTTTTAAGTGTTCCTATGAATCACAAAGCTGTGTTAATACCTTGTAAGTGGAGGTGATATTGTTTTCATTTTTTAAGCACCCTATGTTACCTTTGTGATTGAAAAGAAAGCTATATAAATAAAGTTTGATTTTATTTGATATTAACATTTGTAAAAGTACCTTCCCTTGCTGTTATACAAAACAAAAAAAACAAAAAAGCCGGCAGACGGTTCCATGTGGGTGTTAAGTTGTTTGCATGGCTAGCAATCAATCAATCAATCAATGTTTATTTATATAGCCCAATATCACAAATGTTACACTTGTCTCAGTGGACTTCACAGTTTGTACAGAATATCAGTATGACAATACGACACCCTCTGTCCTTAGACCCTCACACCGTACAAGGAAAAACTTCCGGAGAAAACCCACAGTTTAAAGGGGAACATGGGAGAAACCTCAGGGAGAGCAACAGAGGAGGGATCCCTCTCCCAGGACGGACAGACGTGCAATAGATGCCGTGTGTAAATTGAAAAGATAATACATTTGCAACATAGGTAGTCCAAATGTTTGGAAATGCATGTGTGTATAATAGGAAGATGAATCCACGAGGATATCCATCCAGGACCTATGATCCAGGACCACAGCCACGACTCAAGATCCAGGGCTCGCGATCCAGGACACAGGACCGCAGGATCATCCATGACTCCGGATCCCGGCGTATATAGCAGTGTGGGTAGTGGGTCAAATTATGTGTGTGTGTGTGTGTGTGTCTTTGTGTGTGTTTGTGTGAGTGAGTGTGTGTGTGTGTGTGTGTGTGTGTGTATGTGTGTGTGTGTGTGTGTGTGTGAGTGAGTGTGTATGTGTGTTTGTGTGTGTGTGTGTGTGGTGTGTATGTATGTGTGTGTGTGTGCGTGTGTGTGTGTGTGTGTGTGTGTGTCTTTGTGTGTGTTTGTGTGAGTGAGTGTGTGTGTGTGTCTTTGTGTGTGTGTGTATGTGTGTTTGTGTGAGTGTGTGTGGTGTGTGTGTGTGTGTGTGTGTGTGTGTGTGTGTGTGGTGTGTGTGTGTGTGTGTGTGTGTGTTGTGTGTGTGTGTGTGTTTGTGTGAGTGAGTGTGTGTCTACTGTATGTTGAGAGAGTGCCTGTGAAGGTCCTCCAGCACTCTGGACGGCTCTCAAACTGATCCAGTAATGTCAGCCTGACATTTGTGAGATTTTGTTTTCCACGCTCTCTCTTTCTCCCTCATATTGTCTTTCCTCCTTCTCTCCACTGTCTCTCTCCTCTCAATCTTTCTTCATCAATTGTCCCTCTTCCTCTCTGTGGCTATATTTCTCTCTCCCTCCCCTCTCTTTCTCTCTTGCTCTCTCAGCAGGAAGAGGGGAGTGTGGGAGTTTCAGCTCAAAGCGGCAATACACCGATAATTGCTTTCTGGTCACCGTGACATGACAAAGTCCGCCAGGGTAAGGCAACACATACACACTAACACACACTCAATTTTCCGACACTCAGAAACTCAAACAGACTCACACAATAAAAACAACACCGGTGAAATCATCAGCAGAGAACCACTTGCAGAAAGACCAGAAAACACACAGTAACAGACATGTCCAAACAGAATTAGTTATATAAAAACTTGATAGACTTGTAAACAGCCTGTCTGACGTTCTCTCCAGAGCTTCCATTATGTGTCACAGTGCTTACCTATGATAGATGTAGAAAGAGATCTGGATACAGCGCTGGAGGCGGGGCCCTGTTTATTGTTATGAAAGTTGCTCAGTGGCGCATGAAACCAAAACTCGAGAACGAAACTACCCGTATCTTCCTACGATATCCCGCATCCACTCATAGAGCGGAGGATGCAGACTTGCGTTTGATTCCGTCAAAAGAAGGGAGAGAGACAATTACTCTATTTTAGGACATTTTACAACTTAAGGCATTATGATTTAAGTAAAGGCTATTCAAGAGTTCATCCTGGCAAGTTCCTTTACGTAAAAAGTTACAGCTAGCTTGACACCAAGGTTTGGTAAGAGTTTATAGTATTGTTCCTGGGCAGGTAACTTGGAGTGATGCAGTTGAAGTATTATCAAGTCAATCTCAGCATATCTTTGACTTATTGTCCAGTCCTGAGTAATGAAACACTGAGGAAGGTTTTTAGTGGAGTGAATATCTGATAACTTATATATTTACGGCAACATCATCACCAGAATTAGCCATGTTTCCATGCATTGACACAGCAATACAACAGGAAACAGTCCTTGTTAAACAATCTGATTGGTTGTAGACTAATCTTTGTAAGTTTTGTTTTATTGTGTTCCTTAAATTATGCTCTGGTGCTTTTATGACTTCTTAAAATGTGGGCTCATTGATCATTGTACGCCTCATATATGAATGTGTTATTGTTTTGTCAAGCATGTGTGACTTTGTCTGCGAAAAGCGCTTTATAAATACACTTTACTTACTTACTTACTAATCTAAAAGCATCCATTATTCTCAATGATTTCATAAGTGAGGCTCAGATGTTTATCATTAGCTTTTAGATACCATAAGGCAAAAGCATGGATACTTGGAAGACAAAGAAATGCTAATGACAAACAAGTCTCAGCTAAAACTAGCAAACTGATATTGTAGGGTTCAGTGAAAACACGAAAATCAAAAAGAGATGTCGGTGTCACATGAAAGAAAATATATCTTAGTATTGCATAACATATGAATAGAAAGGGCTATATATTGTATATACATTTTCAGACTTTAAATCAACAAATGACTGTGAATAGATTCCAAGAAGGAAGTACCACAAACTGATTTTCTATGTTCTGCACTAACATAAACTATAAATCAAACGGAGACACACCCGGCGCCTCAGGTATGCTGAGATTTACATGATATGAGTCAATGTAAAGTGAGCTCACTGTAACTACACTCTGTAAATCACTTTCGCAGTAACCTATTAACACCTGGGAATTCTTACGAGAGACTATATAACTATAATATCACATTCTTCCGTGGTCGGAAACCACAAACATTTTTGGGTGTCTGCCTAGTTTGTTATGTGCAATAAAAGCACTTCTATACCACAGAACATTTGTAAAAGTGCACGATTGGAGAGAGTGGAGAAAATACTTTGG